CAGATGGAAGCAGACAAGAGACAAGCAACAAACCTGCTCTTAATTAAACATTTGTCTTGCAATTACATACTTCTGTGTAATTATCGCCATCAAGGCAAACACCAACTGGATCACACCGAGAAGAGGCAGACGGTAAAGGTTAATGGGTCCTTCTCTCCCTTCGCAATTATTCCCGAGATCTCGCAGAGGGAAGGGCAGGACGTCCAGAATGCTGCTGCCACTACAAAGGAGGAACAAGCCCATTCAAGGAACAATCAGCCTGAACTAGCAGACTCTGAGATCATATGTCTGAGAGGATGGATGATGACTTCTTTGAGGTCTCGCTCCGGGCTCGAGCACAGCCGACTCCAGTGGTTGTGCATCATTCCCATGTTTTATCACCCTCAAGCTCCCACGAGGATAAACCTGAACCCGCCATTAACGGTTCCACATCTCCTTCTACATTAAGTAACCCAAATTCCTCACTTTTCCCTTTCATCACACCTTTGAAGCCATCCTCACTTCCAGCTTCTGGCTTCTCTTTAATCAGCCCTAACAGGCAACCAGGACCTCACAGAGAAAGGCTCCAAGCTGAGTCCACACGTGCTGTCTGGAGGTTGACCGACTGCTTTCCATTTCTAGCGTAAGAGCTTGGTAAACTCAGTGTTTATATATATTCATTGGCTTACTTTGCAATAGCTTCAAGAATGGATTCCTACTTTAATCTGCGCTCTGCTGTGACCAGCAGGTCTCCTATGACCTACCACTGCTGGCCAGCTCATTCCCAACCTTCCCCAGTGTCTGCTTCCATGGATTATCTCTGCCTGTCATCATCCCAGGACTGGCACGAAGAGAAGGGGAGGCAGCGTTTAGATGCATGAGGTGGGGAATCAGGGACATCTGGAAATTGGATTTTAACAAAATTCACCAACACAGCATCTTGAAATTCTGGATAATTCATCACATCCAGCTGTAACTGGGAAGAAAGGGACACCCAGATATCATCCATGAGTAACTAGACAGGGATTTAATGCCCTTATGCTGCCATGGTGGGTATTGTAGCAACTCTGTCACTATTCCTGACATCCCCACACAGCTGTGCCGTGGCTGAAGGCATCACAAAAGAACCAGACTGTTAAAACAAATAGGAAAATAGGGATTATTAAATCAAACATTTGAATAGTTTGAATAAATCTCAGACTTGCACAACAACCAAGCCATGCTAAGTCACCGCCGTCGCCCCAAAATTAACTCTCCAGAAGCAAGGTTGTTCTCTGAACTAATAATTTTGCTGCTTTAAAATCAAAGGTTGCAGGGAGCAGCAACCTCAGAGCGTTCCCAAAGGTTAATCTGATGTGCTGAGCCACAGCTGAATTATTGATGAGTAGTGGGACAGGTTCTATCGAGGAATGAGCCCACAGGTAGGGACCACTACACCAGAAAAATCCTTCAAGCCAGCACAGCTCACATCCATGAAGAAGCTCATCCAACTCCTGGCCTGCTCGGGCCACAGGGAAATTTAATTATTTAGGTTTCTCAGCTGCTGCATAAATATCAAATGTAAAACATTAGTTCATAATTGAACAGGGCAAGAGAAGCTGCATCTGCAGGGGGGAGTAAGTTGAGGCTGGCCAGCACAAAGAGGTAGGTGGGAACAAATTCCCCCTGAAATCTGGGAAAAAGGAAAGTGAAAAAGGCAAACCTCAGAACGGACCAATCCACAAAACTTCTGCTGATAGTGAAACAGCCTTAAATTAATGCCAGGAGAGCCCAGGCAGCTTCGGTTCACAAAGTGATGTAAAGGCCTGGACTCATCATCACTTATTAATCTCACATCAATTAAATAAGATGCACCACTGAACTGGGATAGAAAAATAATTAAAGCCACTGTGTTGCTATTCCACCCTATGACATGATGATCCTGAGAGAATGGATGATATTCCACTGGTTTATCTGCGTTGAGTAAATCCACAAAGAATTGAGGAAATGGGAAAACCAGTTTTCTAGTGCAGTTCTCCATCTGAGGAAGCTGAGGCTACCACCTGATACATCCAACTGCAAACACAATTATCTGGTTTCAACCAAATCTTTCCAAAATGCTGAGTTTCATTCAGCTTTGAAAGCAACACATGTAGGGATAAACTTGTTCCACGTTTCTGTCTGTACATATAAAATGCTTAATTGCCTCTGCCTATAAACAAACCCAATCATTTTTAAAGCTGTTCTGTTTAAACAAGTTTTCCTGCATTTTAATTGCATCCCAATTCCCAGAAAATTCTGTGTGACAGAAAAAAAAATAATTAAAAAATCAACCTTTTAATTAGCAAGCATCATTGTTTCTGTACTTTGCCGTGGAAAAGGGTTAGGATTTAAAGCTAGTTATGATTATAATTAAGCTGCTTAAATATATATCATCTTGTTTGTGACACACAAAGACTCCAAATTTCACAGGCTAGGGAAGGCAAGCAGACCTGTGACTGCAATCCCTGTGGTTTGTCTGGATTGTTCAGTCCCATGAGCCACAGCAAGCACCATCCTAGAAAAAAGGTTCTAAGATTTTTAAATTAAGAGAACAATTCAGATGGTCATTTGATAAAATCATGTATGGGAGAGAAACCTTTCTCAGCTGGGAGACTCCTCCGTCAAAGACCTCGACATCAATCACTTTCTTTACCACCCAGTTCCCTTACACAGTTACTCAACAGCCCTGCTCAGTATCAGCTCCTTGTAAGAAAAGACCCGTGAATGACAGGAAATGCTCCTTTTCTCTTCCTCCTCATGGCTACTATGAAAGGGAACATGTGCTCTCACAGATGGAAATCACTGCCTCCTGAAACAACAGCAGTGCTAAATACTCAGGGGTGCCAGTGCTCTGAGCATTGATTTCAACAGATAATTATTTCCATTAGTGCCTCTTCAAAAGAAGAATTAAGGAGAACAAAAAAAAAAGCCTTTTTCTTTTTGTTTTAATTTTTAACCAACAAACCAGCAAAGCAGCAGGAACAAAGAGCATCTTAAAAAAGCAGCTTGGTTTTGGCTCAGTTTTGCAGAGGCGTGGGTCTCTGACAGGCAGAAAACCCAGCTCCCCTGGGATGTGTGAGGCCTTTCCTCTCCCGAGCAGCACAGTCCGGTGGCTCATCAGTCCTGCTGCTGGCCAGGCTTGTGCAACGTTGCTTTCTCACTGTCAAACAGCATCTCCCCCACTCCCCGACCTTCACACCATGCACACAAGGCAACAGGAGTCACTTTGATTTCTGACCAAGGCCAAACTCAACAGACACTTCTTTCATCTCTGCCCAAGGCATTTACCACATCAAATTATTGCCGACATTGGGTTCCCTGTTTCATCTAGGCCAGGCCGGGAGGTAACCTTGCTCACTAGATACATATTCATCAGCCACTCCTCCTGTTCTTCACAGCTCCTGCTGTCCAGGGGGTAGAGAGCAACAGGGGTGTGAAATCATGAACTGAGCTGTGTCCCAAGGAGAGTAGATTAAGGCTGTGGGAAGACAATCCCTTTCTTGTGTTGCCTCCGCTCCATCTCAGTTTCCAGAAGCTGAAATAGCAGCAAAGCTGACAGCTGGCAGAGCATGAGCCAGCACTGGGAAGCTGCACGTTGGCTGTATTTGGGAGGAATATTACGTTAAACCATCTGGCAGGGCTGCCCCAAACACCTACAGGCACCCAGTGCCATTGCCCACGGTCTGCTGGTGAAGGACACGGGGAGCACTGGCCAGGGAGAAGTAAGTAAACATACAGCAGAAAACAGCCCTATTTTGAGGCAACTCCTGGAGGAGAACGTTTCCCCCCCCCCCAAACGCTTTGGGAACGCCAAAAAACTCCTTTCAAGAGAGGAGACAGGAGCTCACTGAGCCCCTGGGATGGCTGGGAAGGGCTCTTTCCCAGCTCGCAAGTCAGCACGGACTTTTGGAGGAAGGAAGGTGGAAAGGCACAGTAAGTGACCACAATCCAGACTTCCTCAGAAGTAAAACAAAAGAAAACGTACTGTTAGGGTAGGGAATTAAAAATAACGAGCACATTTGCGAGGATATGCCTGAGGGAAAATAGTTTAGAAAATTAAAAACTCCATAGCAGCAGACTGAAAGCTGTTAACCAACACCTAGTTAAGCACAAACTGCAATCCTTGCAACAAAACATAAGAAGGAGGTAAAAAAAAAAAAAAGTCATGCAGCAATCAAGCTTACCCAGACCAAAACAAGTACTAGGAAAATAAAAATTAAAAAAAAAAACAAAACTGTTCTGTGATACCTGAACAGAAAAAAAACTTTTGATGAAACTCTCAGGACTTTACAGTGAATAGGCAAAACCAAGGTTATGTTGTATAGTATAAGGTTTTGGGTTTTAATATCCAACAGAAGGAAAAGGCAATCCCAAGGATCCCAGCCTCCACTTAAGTATAAAAAAACCACTGTCAGTGGCAACCACCCACTGGGTGAACGCCATCATATAATTTCATCTTTTTTCTGCAAGGAATCAAATGTTTTGAGAACAGCAAGTTTCAATCATTAGGAATAGGTCTCACAGAATCCCAGAATGGCTTGGGTTGGAAGAGACCTTAAAGCCCATCTCATTTCACCTCCTGCCATGGACAGGAACACCTTTCATTAGACGAGGTTGCTCCAAGCCCTGTCCAACATGGCCTTGATCATCTTCCCCAATTATACTACTAATTAAAACATTAGACACCTGTCTCTCAGTCTTGTTTGCCCATCAAGTTCCTTTTCAAGGCTGCCATAACTGTTCCACATGTGGGACCTCTCCTTACAAAGTGCTCACTTTTCATGTGGACGTGGTTTCTCTGGGCCTGGTCGAGGCTCTTCTTGCTTCTTCCCTACAACTTTCAAAGTTAAACCTACATAAATCTCAAAGTAAATGGCACAGGAAGAAAAGTCAACCTGCTGACGCAGAAAACTCCAAAACATACAACTAGAATAATAATAAGAAATATTAAAAAAAAGGAAATTGGTTAGAGGCATTAAGAAAAAAAAAACCACAAATGCTTCCTTTGAGTAGCCCCAGAGTCTTTAATACAATCTCCAACTCATAAAAGCAAAAAGAAAATTATTAACATGCAGAGCATTCAACTTTCATGTGCTGACATTAAAATGTGACTAAAGCTGCCTGTAACCAGTTGCCTTTCTGGTTTGAATTTGTAACTTACCAAAAGAGAGTAGTTCCCCTCAACTTTTCGAAACAAAACTCAAATAACCTCAAGGCCGTTTGATACTGCCCCTCTTTCCTCACTCCTGCCTTCCAGAAAACAAGAGAGATGGAGAGGAGTGCACACAGACAGGCAGGCAGACCATGGGAAGCTTGTTAGCAGATGATGTAGCGGACCAGGTTTGAGCCACGAACTTCTCTCACTCTGTGGCAGTGCCTCAGGATGTTCAGGATGTTGTGGAAGCGCTTGTCCAGCTTCAGCTGGGTGAACTCCTTGATATCAGCCTCCACAATAAAAAATTCACCTGGAAAACAAATAGTGATTTTGCCAGAGAAAGGACAGGATGCACTTTTAACGTTTCACAAGTGAGAATGCCACCTTTCCCTAACAATTCTGACGGAAAAGCTACCATCAGCAGTAGGAAGGCCGCACGCTATCTCAGGAGCTTCGTTCTACTTTATAAATTTGTCATCAGAAAGAGAACTACCAGCCTTCCCATGATGTTCAGACACCCTGCATCATCCTCAGGCCCCACTCAGTGAGCTCTGTCTCCCGGCAGGAACTCAAGTTCTGGAATTGGCTCTTTGCAAAAAGGAGGAGAGAGCCCTGCATACATCAGAGCCATGCAGCCCACCATTCCTTTGACCTCCATCTGATTTGGAAAAGAGTAGTTCTTCACTGCTTAAGGAAATGCAAGAAAAAGACTAACCACACAAACAGCATCCTCCCTGCAGCCTCCAAGAAAATGGCACGGGAGGGTCCTGCATCAGACAGAGCTGGCAGCTCATGCCTTCTTGTAGCTGATTAACTGATTCCATAAGGAAATCCTCATTACAATTCAGGCTGCCCAGGCACCATCCCTGGAAGTGTTCAAAAAATGTGAGGATGTGGCAACTGAGGACATGTTTTAGTGGTGAACATGGCGCTGGGATGGTGGTTGGAATTTGTGATCTTTTAGAGGCCTGTTCCAGCCTAAATGACTCCACAATTTTAAGCACTCCGTAGCTATATTCCCATGGCTGTGATTTCATACTCAGAAAGTCTTTTTCCACCGCTCAGATAGGAGATAATTACAGACCTAGTAAAAAGACTGTATATTTAATGCTTCCTGTAACATGGCACAAGGCTTTAACCATGTATCTCCACAAAACTGTAAGAAAGAAAAGCAATCTGAAACCAGGGATGTGCTAATTGAGGTATAATAAGGAAATGTCCAATTATCTTTAAGGAGGGGAGGTAGAAGGAAGCGACTCCCAAGTTTAATGAGAAGGAAGACACAGGAGTGGGGGTGTTTCAGCTTGGAAAAATAAGATAGCATTCTCCCTCCTCAATTTATCCTTTAAGGCAGAGGCAGTGACATTTAAGACAACACAAAGAAGAGATGCTCCATTAAAGATATTAGAAGGTCCTTCCAGTTTAACTGGAGAGAATACAGCTGATCCAAGCTGGAAAGCTGAAGCTGCCAGTAAAGGATTAAGGTCCCAGAGTATTTATAAGCATAATGTTCCCCAAAATATTCTTTAGCCAGAGCAGAAGAATAACAGGTAGTGTTTTCTCACAGACTGGTCCACTTTGAGAGTTGGTGACACACGTCTAATAGAAAGTAGAATCTTTCAGAGACAATAACTGTCCAAATCTAGATCTCTCCCAAACAGGAAACTATGCTGTAATCTCTGAGCTTGTAACACCACTGAATTCCCATACAGATAAGAGGTGTGAAGTTTGTTTACCAGGAAAAGAAGAAAACCTGCACAACTGCTTAAAATACGAGCACCATTGGATAGAGACCATTTACAAGTTCTGGTAACAGGGCATTAAACCCAAAGTGTTAGGAGCCCAGGGATAACCTGCATACTGGTTAGTCTGTTATATCAGGGGAACACCAGAATGTCCTGAATTTTGGCAAGATTTCTTCTTATATTTGCCCAGAAGTCAGGGCAGCAACATTGAGCATAGCAGGATCTTTTTTAGGAAGAAGCCAGAGCTGGATGAAGGGTGGTGGTTTGGTCCATGCACTAAACAACCAGCTGAACTCCCTGAATCACCTTAGTGGCTGGAATTTACCCTGATAAATCAGGCAGCATCTTTTCTCATCTTGAAATCAGAGAACAGGTCAGCTGGCAATCAGCCCAGGCTGGGAAACTCTGGGAATTCTAAGTAGAGGGTCACTCACAGTAGAGATTTAAGCAAACAAATCAATGAATGCACAACTCATCCCGAAAAATGCAATGGATAAAGACATTTAATCATTTTGTGCTGGCCAGATAAGAACTGTCTGACAGCCTGCCAGACCTTTTCTCTGGACTTTCTGGATGATTAGTCACAAAAAAAAACCCTAAACAAAACAACCTACCACACAAACACACACATTCTATCAGATGCTGAATGTCCAACTTTCTAACACAAACAAGAAAATAAGGCTGTCTCTCGGGTGCTTGAAGAAACGAAACACCTCAATCTTTCAGATTTAAAACCCCCAAATTTCTGGCAGAAATTTCTCTCTGACTACCTGTAGCTTTGTCAAGTTGCTAGAAAGGTTTCTTCACTGCAGTCAACGCTCCTGTGGATCATGGAGCAGCATCCCAGGCCTAGGAGGACCTTCCTAGTGTTTAGCCTGTCCCAGTAACCACGGGCTCAAACTCCTTACTATAGTTCTTAGGACAGAAACAGTTAAACCAAAAATATGCTGTAAATTAAGGGTGATGAAGCAAGTATTTTAAGAAATCCCAGATTAATATAAGCTGTTGTTAGACTGAGGCAAAACATGTCTAGAGAAACCAAACCATTGAAGCCCAAATCAGAAGCCAGTCACATGAAGTTATCCAGCTGCATGTGTTTAGTATGATTTCAATAAAGCCCTTTAAAACACTGACCTCTGTATGACACCTGAGACCCCACCTGGAGTCCTGTGTCCAGCCCTGGGAACCCAATGTAAGAAAGATACAGAGCTGCTGGAGCCAGTCCAGAGGAGGCCACGGAGATGCTCCAAGGGCTGGAGCCCCTCTGCTCTGGAGCCAGGCTGGGAGAGCTGGGGGGGTTCACCTGGAGAAGAGAAGGATCCAGGGAGACCTGAGAGCCCCTTGCAGTGCCTAAAGGGGCCCCAGGAGAGCTGGAGAGGGACTGGGGACAAGGGATGGAGGGACAGGACAAGGGGCAATGGCTTCCCACTGGCAGAGGGCAGGGTTAGGTGGGATATTGGGAAGGAATTACTGTCTGTGAGGGTGGAGAGGCCCTGGCACAGGTTCTCCAGAGCAGCTGTGGCTGCCCCTGGATCCTTGGAAGTGTCCAAGACCAGGTTGGACGTGGTTTGGAGCAACTTGGGCTAGTGGAAGGTGTCCCTGCCCATGGCAGGGGGGTGGAATGAGACGATCTTCTTGAAGGTCCCTTCCAACCCAAACTAATCCATGATCCTATGCTTATCCTATAGGTCTCAAAATAAAGTGACAGGCAGGTCCATTAGATCACAATCCTTCCCTGCAGAAAAGCTGCGTTTAGAATCCAGAAGTGAGTGATGTAATCACCATACTGTAACACTGAGGGTCTTGAACAGCAACAAAACCAAAGCAAGAACAAGTTGCAGTTTGTCATGAAGTGCCTCCTGAGTACACAGTGAGTGCTCAGGGCAGAATGTTCTCACATTCTGTCCAGGCCAAAAACAGGGAGGTGGGTGCCAAGGTGTTCTCAGAGAAAGTTCTTTTTCTGTGTGACAGAAGAGAGTTTGCTCCACTCTTTATGTCTGAACTCGGAAGCATGAGGGCATTCTAAGGACATGGCCAAGCTTGACATGTGCAGTACACCCCTCCAGGAATAATTACATACTTGTTCTCAGAAGGAATGTCAAAAAGGGGATTTTAATAACAGAGATTTACCATGCTACATATTTTTCGAAAAACTAACCTGCAAGCAAAACTTTCTTTTCAATGGAGGGAAAGGTATTTTGGTTGATTTTCACTCCCTCTATGCTTTTAAGAGAAGAAAACTTCTTAAGATTGTCAGGTGGACCTGTCTCTCCCACAAAGCCACTGCAGGACAATTGATTAGTCAGACATCCCAGCTTCAGAACAAATTTTCAATAGTTTATGTCCATTCTAGCTTAAAAACTGAAAACACAGTTCATATGTTTTGTTTATCAAGCTGGGAGTTTCCAGAACTTGCAATGATTCCAAACTAAATCTTCGTGCACTCAAAGTTTCTGCCATGACACGACACAGAAATGACATGTTTTCAGTGAAAACATACAAAAAGTGACCAAATCAGTTGTGGGATAACTCTTCAGTCACAAATACTGGTTTAAAAAAAGTCCAGTATTATTATACTTGTGCTGCAACATCCAAGTGTTACGAATTAGACACTAAAAAAAGGGAAAAAAAAAAAAAAAAAAGAAATACCTTTAGTATCTTTAGTTTCTTCTTCCATGAACCTGTTGTAGAGATTTCTGACTGCAAAACACATAGATTTCAAAGGCCGATGCATGATCTTGTACTTCTCCACGACAGCCTTGTTAATCTCTTGAACAACTGCATTAATCTGATCATACGCTAAACGACCTTTCAGATACCTACAAATAAAAATAAAAATAAAAAATCAGTAACCAGAAAGCCGCAAAGTTCCTTGTTTATTTTTCTCTTTCGTCAGCCTTAACTGAACGAGCCATTCCTAGTCAGAGGCAGTTTCCTCCGCTTTGTGTTAATGAATAAATGCAGCAGTTAATTCCGTTCATTTCCTTGATTGTTTAACAGTCTTGAAGGTAAAAAAAAAAGCCACGACAAATTCCAAACGAGAAAAACGAAATACTAGAAACCTAAATGAAGTAAAATATATCCAGTGTCGAAGTTGTAAAAAGTCTTTCAGAGTGGAATAAAAGTTGCTTTTATAGCGTGCCACTTAAACTACAAACACAGAAAAATCAAGTGACTTCGCAGAAAACATCGCATGAAATGAAATCCGTTTGCCTAAGAGCACAGCTTGGTTCATATTATCACCACAAATAACCTGTGTTTGATCTCACATCCTTTTATTTGGTGGGCTTTTTTTGAAGAACTACCAGTTCTGTGTTGTCTTCTGCATTTCATTGTGCAGCCTACTGAGCTGTGCAGGCACCATTCTGCACCAGTAAGGTCCACTTTTGAACTTTCAGAGCATTTCATAAAACCAGTACTAGGAGAATAAGATCTGTTGATAACAGCCTAGAGGTACAGGAAGCACAGAAGATAAAACCAAAGTGATGTGGAAAAAACTAGAACACTGGGATAATCTGCAAGTGAGGCTATTCAGTATTTATAGATGTAAAGGCATGCCTTTAAGGGAAAGGAACAGTGCTGCAAACCGAGAAGCCATTATATAAAAATGAAATCTGAAGCTGAAATAACAACACGACCCCCCAGAAAACATGGCAGTAAGAGCCAGGCCAACCTGAATTATCCTGTGACCATCATTCAGTTGCTACAGCAAACCAAAGGTCTTTGGAAAACATACAGAGAATTTAAAGAGGAAGTAGCTAATCAACTACAAGTTCAATATTCCAAACGAGAACGTGGGCAGGATTTTTTTTACCTACTAAAAGTGTTTGCTGTAGGTTTCAATAACAGCCAGTCCCTGCTGCCAGGTCCAAACGAGGTGTGTAAAACCTCCCGAATTCAAAGTAACTGCTCTTAGCTCAGACTGAGTTTGAAACTCAGTTGCCACGAAGTTACTGGCAGCCAGCTTTCAACTTTATTGATACTTCTTCGATTAAACCAAAGTTGGATGTGCAGCCGCTTCGTAATTATAAAAACGATCTACTTTTCACAGAAGTAAAACCAGCACTTACCACCCCTGAGATGCAGCCACAGCATAAACAACACATCCTACAACCACAGGAAGGCTTTGCCTGTATGCATTAACTGCTATTTGTTGCTCTGTCTGCCTCCCTTAGGCACGGGGGAACGTGGAGAGCTATGAAGGCTAAGCCCAGAGGTATAAAATACCTGAATCTAAATTCCTGTGCTCCCACTATCAATAGACACTCAGTGAACACACTTAATAAAGCCAAGGGAGCACCTCAACCCATCCTGAGGCTGAAACAGACAAGCAGGATTGGGTTGCCTAAACCTAAGAAACAAGGGCTCTGAGAAGGCCCTCGGGCATCCAAGATGCTTTAGTCTGAAATTAAACTCTGTCAAAACCAAGAGGAATTTTTATTCTGTGCATAACTAAGGATCATAAAAACCCCAGCTGTTTCATAGCCCTCTCATGTTTCTACCCAACCACGGCTGGAAAACCTGTAAATGCTGACATTTATTTCAGTCCATACATACACTGACATAAAAACACGAAGTTGAGAAGTTCCACATCCAGCCATTTAATTTAGATTTAAAATAACTTTAAAATCCCCATCACTATTCCAAAAACAGCAAAACTCGGAAATCTTCCTTTAGAAAAAAAAAAACCAAAACAAAACAAGTGACCCAATTTCTTTTTTTGATCCACAGAAGCCCTTTTTCGAAGCATTTTTTTCCATAGGTACGAAAACCAAAGCACAGTGATGTGCTCCTCAGAGAAAAGAAGAGCATCAGTGTATCACATATATACCACACTAAAAGAGATAAACCTCTTAATGGCCACCACCTGCTCCCTAAAAAAATGCTTAGGCTAAAAGAAACATATTCCCTCAAGTTACCATCTTCTGAAACTCGAGAGTTATAATGAATGTGCAGATTCTAAAATATTTTAAGCAGTAAACATTTTAGAAAGCAGCAAGAATTTTAGACACAGAATAAAGAAAGCTTCTTCCTTTGCCTTGAACTCAGTGTTAACTGAGACAGATACCAAGAAATTTCCTTTCTCTTCCTCAAAAAAATGCCTTTCTGGAACAGATGTGAAGGGTAAGATAATTTGCAAGTCTCTGACCACAGAACAGAATCACACAATTGTTTGGGTTGGAAAGAACCTTTAAGATCATAGAGTCCAACTGTGATCCTAGGTCAGAACCAGTGCTGACCTGGAGAACTGGGATCTGAACCCAATCCTCGTTCATCCAAGGGAATATGTTTGGTGCAAGAAAATTTGGGTCACAAATATTTGCTGCTTAGATTTGATCAAACAGTACGTGAAATCACAAGTTCTCCCTCAATCTTGTACTACAACATTGCCAGGCAACAGTAATACTGGTAGATTAATAGATCTATGTAAATTCATGTAAATCTTCCTCCACAGAACAAACATGCTTTTCCCAGATGAATAAAATTATTTCTAGAGCTCCACCAGCACAGTCTAAGATGTAACCTCTCTATAAGCCTGCAATGAGCAGGAAAAGGATCCATCTGGCCTCTGTCCCCATCCTCTGTGTCCGTGAACAGCAGAGGAAAACCTTCTGTTTTCAAGGATGATCACAGAATCCTGTAGGCTGGAAAAGCCCTCTGAGATCATCAAGTCCAACCCTTTCCCCAGCACTGCCAAGGCCACCACTAACCCACGTCCCCCCAAGTGCCACAACTACCTGTCCTGTGATGTGGAAGATCATAGCTTTAACTGGAAGTTAAAATAATGTCTGCTTGGAATGGTCTGTGTCTACTTCTCTTGCCAGAGCAGAGACAAACACCAAAGACTCCCATGCCCCGGCTTTACCCTTCCACAATTTTATCAGGAGAGAACTACCTAAGGGAGTAAATACAAAAAATACTAGAGGTGATCTGCAGAATAAAAAGTACCAGGTGCATGCTCTTTTAAGAGGTAACCAGAAGTCCTTTATCATTAGCTCAACATTCAGGATAAGAAAGAAAACGGACACGACTCACCCGAAAATTCTGAAAGCTGCAGGAAAAATTACTGGAAAGCCTCAAGCAAAATACAGACTCAAAAACATATTTCATATTGAAACGGGTATTGTCAGGGAACACACCGAATCTAGAGCCTCAACAAAGGTTTAGCCTTAGAGAAATTTCTCCTTTTTTGCAGAAATATTTATCCTTGCCCCCAAAAAGCCATTTGAAAAAAGTTATTCCTACATGACAGACTTCAGACAAGGATATCCATTAATCAGGTCCCGATGTTAGGGAAAAATACCCACAGCTTTCTACTGAAGAAATCTGGGGATTTCAGTGCAAAGCGTTTTCTCCTTGAAACAAGTTTGATTTCCTTCGCTGTTTGAAAACAGATTGATTAGTCAAGAACTGAAGTTCCAGAAACCAATAACTGGCTCAAATAAAACCAGCATTTATGATTATTTTTCCTTCTAGCTGTAAACAAACCTTTCATCTTATGAGATCACGGCTCTTTTTTTTTTTTTTTTTCCCTGTAAGTCCTCAAAACAAGAAGAGAATTCACCTGTTATCTAATAAATTTCTGTTCATACAATTACAGTGACTTTTGCAATAAGAGGTTTGGGTTTTAACTGATCAGTTCTGATCTTCCCAATAAAAGGGAAGACTCTATTAATTTCATTTTCAGGCTTGCCAGTGCTGCATTTCAACTATTTGGAGCTGTTATCATGATGCCTCACCCTGCGGAATATTTAAAGTTTCAAGCCATCTCTGTCAGTCCCAGTTCTGCAGGAGGTCACTTTCCCAAACCTGTGTTTGCCACCCGAATTGACGTGGCGGGGTGTAAGGAAAGCCACGCTTACTTACGCAGGAACAGCTTCAAATTCTTCCGCCATTATTAACGGTATTTCTTTAACGACTCTTTTCTCTTTTGCAGGTTTCTGAGCAGGTTCAGGTTCTCCCACTTTTGTTTGTTCTTCGTGTTTCACAGTTGGCACGGTGACGCTGTGAAATGAATGAATATTAAGTGTACAAACAGCAGATAAGTAGTAAGGAGAATTCCATTACATTATGGAGTCTGCTTACTCACGGATGTAAATCCTAATCCATCTGTTAAGCTGGATGAACAGAATTAATGGTATTCCGCAAAACAGGAATAAATAAAGCAAGCCTACTCCCATCTCAGACTGCATCCTTCAGGTGACTGCATTACAGCTCTTGGTTTCTCTGCTACAAAGACTGCTAGCAGGTGAGCTGGAAGCAGTCCAAGCACAGCACGGCGCAGCTCAGAATTCAATGTACCATTACATTTCACAGAACACCAGGCCTGGCTTTTTATCAGATGAGCCACAGCACAGAGCTGCAGATCTGAAATACTTCAGAGCTCTTTGAAACAAGTTCAAGTCTTGGAAAGCCTGACTCATCCATTAGTCTTTTGAAGTAAAGAAATTCAACAACATCCAGCAGACTGTGATTTTTTAAATATTTTCTTTTTTTTTTTTTTTGCAAGATCCCCAAAGTCAAAGAATTTCCTGCTCTGAGTGGTTATTAGAGCATTATTTTTCCTCTAAAGGCTCAGCTTAGAGCCTCAAACCCAGAGTGATTTCCCAGCCACCCACCTAGAGGCTCCTTGGCATGAGGACAGCAAAGAGGGTGCATTTGGCTCTTGGAGCATAAGGACATTATTGGGATGTACAACAAAATTAACTAAAGCAGTAGAGAGCTGACCTGGCACAAGAAACTGATCCTCCACTTTGATCTGACCTTCCCATAAGAGATTCTTTTTTGACGTGGGGCCTCACAGCCAGCGAACGGCTCAGCAGTGCCCACTCTGCTGACCCGGGGCTGGGATTTGAGGTGTCACTTGATGTGACACACCCAAGATCAGTGTCCCAATCCCAGGAAAGGCAAGTGCCACGGAGAGGACAGGGAGTGCCACCTGCTGGACTCTCAAACGGCCTGGCCAGTGACAGGAGCAGCCTGACACAACCCAGAGCCCTTCTGAAACCCCAGGCACCAACAGCTAAACCTACTCCGATGTAAACATCTGAAAAACATCTGTTTACATCAGAACAACAACAGCAAAACGAATCCTGGCATCCTTGGAGGTAGCAGGGAATGTCAACAAAGAGGAGGGAAAGGGAAGCAGGGGGGATTCTGGGTGGTATTGGAGGTAGGTTTGGAATGGAAGGATAAAAACAAGGACAAAGGGAAGAGAGTTCACATCTTGAAACTTCACTCCTCCCACGCTCCAGTCTCCTGGCACCCATCCTACTGCAACAATGGTTCTACACGGTTCCTCATCCCCAGGTGCTTTTGCTTTGTGTTTCCACCCAATCCCTTGACCCTGTACTGCTGCAGTGACGTGGTATAGACACAGTTCACCGTGACCTGGAGGACGAGAAGAAAGAACTGACGCTTGTTTACAAAATCTAGCCTTGGCATAGTGATAAACTGCTCTCAGTAAACACCTGGGATACAAGGGCTTTGAGAGACGCTGAAGTTGCTTTTTATTTCAGTGAGATTCCTCTGGTAAACAAGAAAAGAAAACCCCAAGAACGCAGGAGAGAAACAACAGCTAAAGCCACGAATCGTTCAATTCATCTGCGTGGGTGTTTTCACTCTCCTGGGGATTTCAAGGCCTGTCTCACCAGCCTTCAAGTGCTGGCTCTGCTTTCTGCATTATCTCATGACAGTCACTCAGCAGTCCATTAGTACCCCCATCTCCACACATGTGGGGACATAAGGGAACAGAGATGGAGGAGGTCAGTGGAGGAAGGTTTGGAGAAGAGGAATGAAAACATTATCAGCAGTGATACGGTGGATTCTGATCAATTATGTCCTGTCTTGCACTTCCTTGACCCTCCACTGCACAACACGGTGAACATCAAGAACTGACAAGATGAGGACAAAAAGGAGAAAGCATGCTTTGACAAATGGCATTAACATAAAATGTGTTATTCCCCAGGAGAAACCAACAACAAACTGACACTGATGGAACAGCAGCTGTGAGCTGGCAGAGCACAGTCTGTAGAAAATTATCAGAAAAGCTTGGCTGGTTTTACATATGTGGTTCTGTCCAGAACAGGGAAGCACCAGCTAAAGTCATATCACAATTAACTTCTTGATCACAAGCAGGACAAGACTGGATGGGAAACCAACTTCCCAAAGAATTTTTTTGATATCAGAGGTGGCACAATCACTAAACAAGCCTCATTTGCATCTAAACAATTTCCAGGAGCTGACACAAACTTAGGGCAAAGGGTTTCCTAAATTAAGAAAGTAGGTTATGACAAGAAAGGCAGAACCCCAGCGGTAATTTCTGAAGGACTTTGATTCTCTCACACACACACAAAAAGTAACATTTAAATTGAAAAGGAACAAGACACCCCCAGACACATTTTGAGAGACTGTTTCCTAAACTGAGGGCTCGTGTCTAAAGAATTGCAATCAGAAAAAGCTCCTGCAAAAGTCTAAGACTAATCTAAGTTTCAATAAAAGCAGTACCTACACCAATGAGAATATTGCTACATGCCAACTAAAATTACACCTAACTTTTCTCTTCTGGAACCCTATTTCCACACACTTAACCTTTTGCTTTGCTGAAATACACCTGAAGTGTTTTCAGCCTGAGGCTTGTCTGGTGTCAGGAACCAGGCCAAGGTATAAAGCTGAGATATTGAGGGCACATATTGGAAACACTGAATTCAAACAGACTGATAAACTGCCATTATCAGGCAGTTTACAAGGTACAAGGCTAGAAACAAGGCCTGGGATCCCCAGATATTAAGACTCTGGAAGAAACCCCCACCTGGCATACACTAACATCACTCACAAATAAAAAGCAATTCCAAGAGGCCAGAGAAAGAGCTGAGAAACTCAGTCAGAGCTACAATGTCTTAGAAGCCTTCTGAATAACACTGTCTCACGTACTTGTGTGCCATTCTCACACTTGAGCTACTTGATTCTGAACAGCTTCTTACCACAGCCCTCTCCAAGGCAGGGGATGTCATGAAATAAATGTCAGGTTGCTGCAGGGAAAGGAGAATAAAAACCCCCCAGTGATAATTCAAAGCCCCTCAGAAAGACGATCAAGTCGGAGGATTTTTTTTTTTTTAATTATGTTTGGAAGGCCAGGGGTGAACTTCAGTTCTAATGACCTAGCATTGGGATCATTTACCCGCCCTTCAACCCACAGGCACTACAGTTATAAAATCGGTGTGTTTGTGATTTTAAAGCAAGGACTGTTTACATACATAGAAGCCCTTGCTTTCTACTGCATCACACCTGCCACTGGAAGCTTCCATTGGAACAACTTGCCATTTTATGGACTTCACCTGATGGATTTTTTAGGGTGGTAGCACGAGCCTGGACAAGAGCAAAATCCAGAATCGATAGATACAACCTTGGCTCCCAAAATTTCAGAGTCAGCGTAGCGTGAAAGGAGCAGAGCTGCACAATGCTGCACCCAGACACTGCCAGGAGCAGCCTGACACCCCCATGCTCATGTACCACATACCAGCTCTGAGTTGGCTTAGGCAGGTGGGGAGGAACGTGTTCAAGGAGGTGCTGTGCTTCATTTAGATCTCTCTCACCAGCCTGCTGGAGCTCCTGAAATTGATGTGAGACTTCATCAGAAATCTGAACCTACCGACGTCAAGCATGTAAAATTAGGGCAATTTAAGTTAATTTTCAGCTTTATTAAGAGGTGTCCTTTTGCTCTCTCCCTGTCATCTTGCCTCTTTACCCCATCATTTCCCAGAAGAAAGTAGTAAAGCTCAGAGAAACAGAGCGAGGGGTGTCTGCCCTTGCCCTCAGAGTGCCAGAGAAGTTTGAGCAGGCAAATGCAAATCTTTAACAATACACAACTAGCAAGGTCTGGGCAGGGGAACGGTGGTAGTGACGAAGAGATGCCACAGCACATTCACCTACATTCCCCAAACCACCCATTCCCCAAAGACTTAACACATGAAGGCACTGCAGACACACACTAGAATAGATAAATATTCCAATTAAACAGATTTTTGTAGCTCTTGGAAAGATGTATAACATGTTCTCAAGGTCAGTGATAAAGACATGCTTCTAATGGCCTCCAGCTGAAGGAGGGAAGGTTTAGATTAAATATTAGAAAGAAATTCCTCCCTGTGAGGGTGGTGAGGCCCTGGCACAGGTTGCCCAGAGTAGCTGTGGCTGCCCCTGGATCCCTGGAAGTGTCCAGGTTTTGGATGGGGCTTGGAGCAACCTGGGATAGCAGAACGTGTCCCTGCCCCATGACAAGAGGTTGGGAAAAGATAAGCTTTAAGGTCTCTTCCAACCCAAACCATTCTGTGATTCTATGATTCCATGTATAAACCTTGAAAAATAAAATTTTTAATGTTCATTAGCTGGAGAACTGCTTAATATGCCATCAGTAAGGCTGTTTCAAACCCCAGTTTCTCTTCTAAGAACGTGCATCCAAACATATCACCGAGGATCTGGAAGAAAACCAACTACACACTTATCAAAGATTCCTTTGAATCTTTTAGTATTTTATAAAAAACAACAAAAAATATTACTTGTAGCAAATTCTTCAGTTTTTCTTGCTGATTAACTTCATTTTCCATTTTATCCAGGAGATCATTCAAGAGGATCATGTCTTTTCCTATTTTACGGACATAAGGTTTGAGGCATTTTTCTTCACCTGTCAAAGAGAGAATGTTAAGCCACAAAATCTCCAACAAAAACAAACAAAAAAACCCAAACCCCAAATCCCATTTCCCTCCCCTCCACGAGCAGTGATTACCTACTAACTCTACACTCCCCAATCACCATATCCTCCCACCCAGTAGAAGCAGCAAGTCAAACTGTCGTGCTCCACACAGCCAACAGAGCTCATGGAATCATTTAATTTGGAAAAGCCCTCTAAAGATCACGGAGCCCAAACATTCCCCAGCACTGCCAAGGCCACCACTAATCCATGTCCCAAAGTGCATTATCCACACAGCTTTTAACTCCCTCCTGGGATGGGGACTCCAACACTGCCCCGAGCAGCTCGTGCCAGGGCTGGACAACCCTTTCCATGAAACAGTTTTTCCCCAATATGCAACCTAAGCCCCCCTGGCACAATCTGAGGCCATTTCCCCTTTTCCTGTCCCTTGTTCCCTGGCAGCAGAACCCAACACCCCCCCCCCCGGCTCCTGTCAGGGGGTTGCAGAGCCAGAAGGTCCCCCCTGAGCCTCCTTTTCTCCAGGATGAGCCCCCCCCAGCTCCCTCAGCTGCTCCTGCTGCTCCAGACCCTTCCCCAGCTCCATTCCATTCTACAGCCCCTCAACGTTTTTCTTGAAGTGGGGGTGCAAACCGACCCCCACTGTTAATCTCATTTACCTAATTTTTTTAATTGAAAGGACTTTTTAATATTTGAAATCTTCGAGTTGATGTGCAAGCAGAGATCTTCCATCATTGTGGATGCCATATCCTCCGCCATCACGCTGAAGGGGAACAAAAACAAAGGCAGTAATTTAAGACTATGCACAGAAGCAGAGTTTTCAGAAGGACTCCGATCTGCCAGAGAAGGAAAGGGAACTTAAATGAAGCAGTAAATGCTGTAATTCTCTTTCATCTTACTGAATTTTGAAGGCAGGAGGGGAAGCACAAAGTGAGTGACATTAGACAATAAATTTCCCTGAACTCTGGAGATCAATGCAGTGTGTGATATCAGTGCTGCAACTCCTCATAAAACCGGGAATTATATCGAAGTGCCCACTAATGAAGGAGTTGGAAATTTACTGAAATAAACAAGAAATACCGGCTTTATCCAAAGGACTTCTGTAAGTCTCTCTCAGGGGAGATTACATCAAGTGATTAATATTTAAAGGTGTGCTTAAAAAAAAAAATAAAATGCGTTAGCAGAGTATAGAGGCACAAAAAAGAGCATTATATATCGACTACAGTCTATAGTAATAGAATTGTTAGCCCTATTACAGGCAATAATCGATAAAAAAAGGTCATAAAACGTGACAAAACCCTCGCGGCCCTGCACTGAGCGCTCACACAGCTCCCTCCGGCGGCTCGCACAGGGAAACGAAGCTTTTACTTCTCTTTTCGCTTACAACCCTATCGAACCACCGCGCTTTACTAAACCAGCTATTAGACACACGCGCCGCTTTTACCACGCTCCATACCTGAGGGAAGCCGATAATACTGGGAAGGATCAAGGACGCCCTGAGGGGGGACCGAGATCACCCCCACAGGCGGCGGCAGCAGCGGCCGTTTCTCCTCACGACGCGCGGGTCTCAGCGCGAGTCTTCTCCCGGTGCCACCCCCGCTCCGGGCGCCGCGGGGGCCGGAGAGGGAGCAGGGGAGCGGCGGGACGAGGGGAGAGCGGCGGGACGAGGGGAGAGCGGCGGGACGAGGGGAGAGCGGCGGGACGCGGATCCCGCGGCCGGTCCCGTTCGAATCCGCCCGCGCTCGGGCGGGCGTGGGGCGGGGGCGGGAAGGGCGCATGCGCGGCAGGGGGGCGGGGCGTGAAGGACGCATGCGCGGCAGGAGGAGGGCGGGAAGGGCGCATGCGCGGCAGGAGGAGGGCGGGACGCCCTCCCCGAGGAGGGAGGAGCGCGAAGGGGAAGGCGGGAGCTCTCGAGGGGAGCGGGAGCGCTTGTTAGGAGCTCTTTAAAGACACGCAGTGTAGTTTGGAAAGGACAATAACTGTTTATTCTTGCGCGGGGTGCAAGGCGGAGGTTTCCACAAAACCCGCCAAAGCGTAAAAACGTTACTTCTATATAGTAAAAAATACATGAACACGCCCTCCTAATACATAGTCTCCGCCTGCCTGATGCATATTTATTTGGATGATGTAATCCTGCGCGCTGCTTGAAACACATAAGTTCTTTCCTTCATTAAGCAACTGCTGTTGCAGAACTTACCTGATACCGTTAGTTACGTTTGCAAAAGGCGAGGAAATTGAGCCCGGGGACAAGGCAACTCGATTGGAGCGGGAGGAGAGGGAAGGGGGGGGAAGGCGGGAGCTCTGAGCAGGAAAGGGCGGGAGGGCGGGAAGGGATGGGCGGAAGGCTGGAGCGCTGAGGGAGCAGGGAGAGAAAGGCGGAAGGCGGGAGCGCTGAGGGAATCGGGAAAGGCAGGCGGGAGCTCCGAGAGGCGAGATCCCTGAAGGGAGAGGGGAGGGAAGGCGGGAACTCTGAGGGAAGCGAGAAAGGAGGCGGGATCGCTGAGGGAGCAGTGAGAGAACAGCGGGATCACTGAAGGAAACGGAGAGGGAGGTGGGGGCTCTGAGAGGAGCAGGGAAGGGAGGCGGGATCGCGGAGGGAAGCAGAGAAGGGAAGCGGGAAGGGAGGCGGGAGGTCTGAGGGCAGCCGGGAGGGAAGGCGGGATCGCTGAGGGGAGCAGGGAAGGAAGGCGGGAGGTCTGAGGGGATCAGGGAAGGGAAGGCGGGATCGCTGAGGGGAGCAGGGAAGGGAAGGCGGGATCGCTGAGGGGAGCAGGGAAGGGAAGGCGGAATCGCTGAGGGGAGCGGGAAGGGAGGGCGGGATCGCTGAGGGGAGCAGGGAGGGAGGCGGGATCGCTGAGGGGAGCAGGGAGGGAAGGCGGGATCGCTGAGGGGAGCAGGGAAGGGAGCGGGATCGCTGGAGGGGAGCAGGGAAGGGAAGGCGGGATCGCTGAGGGGAGCGGGAAGGGGGCGGGATCGCTGAGGGGAGCGGGAAGGGAGCGGGATCGCTGAGGGGAGCAGGGAAGGGAGGCGGCGTGGCTTAGGCAGCCGTGACGGGCGCCCGCTCCGGTTGCACCCCAGAGACCTTCTCCCCCCGTCCGGAACCAACAGAAACCCGCCACATTTTTTACTTGATTACACAAAGTCAGTTTATTTCGGCATTCAACAGAAGAGAGGGCCCTCAATAACAGTTAAGTCAGTTTTCAACATATACATGGTCTGTTTCCCATAGAACAGCGTCACCTGTTGCTTTTTTTCTTTCTCGGGATAGGGATGGAGATAACAGCTTAGACTTACCCCGAACTAATTTTTTCTAATTAGCTACAAATATAAAGGTTTATTCGTAAGGACAGGCTGCTTATCTCTCCAAGGGAAAAAAAAAAAAGGCAAAAATTTTGTTGCTTTTCCACAATTCCCTGATACAGAACAGCTGGTAATTCCTGCCCTCCCCAAATTCTGAAAAGCTGATAAACAGATTAACACAGAAACAAGTTAAAGAAGGAACACATTAAAGCAAGGACCATGTTAAATCCACGCAGTGACTGCATCCAGTGGAATTAAGGAAAAAGGAAAATGTGCGAATGCAGAGCTACAGCAGGTTATTAAAACTGCTCTGTAAAATAATGCATCTTTTAAACATTTTCTAGTGGAGAAAGGTGGTCAAAGCTTCCATGGGACAGTGAAAGCAACAGTCCCATCTACACAACCACGTGGAGACAACATGTCCTGTGACTCCCATCTTCCATGCTGGATTCATCCCCTAACTCTGGCAACTCCCACATTAAATGGACTGACACAGTCTGTCTTTGTGTAGGCAAACCATAACAGCATCAGTAAAAGGAGATAAAAATTTTTTTTAATGTCGATAATTAAAAAATAGATAAAAAATAAGGCAAACAGAGATGTTCTGAGCCCAGAAGCTCAAAACACATATCCCCTCCTAACCTGGGGTTGTTCACATTTGATAGCTGCTTCAAAAAACAACCCAAATGTCTGTTCTAGACTTTAAACACAGGGTTGTCTTGCATTAACAGCCTCTGCAGTAAACAGCATTACAACAAATGACCGTAAGAAAGAGGGGAAAAAAACCCAAAAACAAACTGCACAACTGTACAGATATAGAGAAAACATATTAAAAATCCCCATGTCTATGAAGCATATTTAAGCCTGGCGTTCTAAAGTTTCTTTTGCTGTTTAAACCTCGCCAGGGGAATGATCTGAGGTTTGTGCAGATAACTGAAACCCCTCCTGCAGTCTCCACCAGTCTAGTGATAAAAATGTAAAGTTTCTGCTGCACATTTCTGTTTTCAGGGCAGAGGGAAGAAGGGCAGAAGTACGTTTCTTTCTGGAGTCTGTAACACCATCTGGTGCTATCTGAAGTCACAAATCCAAGCTGTGGTATGGTCATGAGTCTATTTTATCATCAGGAAGCAAAAGAAAAATTGATCTTGGCCGTTTATTAAGCAAACACCCCTGAGTAAAGAGGCTGGTATCCACTTTCTTCTTTCTTGCAAGTCAGCACGCAGACACTCAGCATGCCAAAGAACTGGAAAGAGAGAGTGCCCAAGAGATTTAGTGCTGTGTTTGTTGTTTCAGTCACCAGACTCAACACCTGTATATTAGAGGACTCCATCGTACTGAAAAAACACTTAGAAATGCATCTACAGAAAGCGGCATTTTTGCATATCAATTTCCAGTAATAGTTCCAGCTCAACATTTCCCTCCCTGGTTTCCCCCGTTAATTTATACATCCACTTTAATTCCTAGTTATCTTTCAGTGAAAGCCTGGGGTTTTTCTGGACAAGTGCACGGAATGACAGCACAAAGAGGAATGGCTTCCCACTGCCAGAGGGCAGGGTTAGATGGGATATTGGGAAGGAATTCCTGGCTATGAAGGTGGTGAGGCCCTGGCACAGTTGTGCTGTGCTGCCCTGTCCCTGGAAGTGTTGAAGGCCAGGTTGGATGGGGCTTGGAGCAACCTAGTCTAGTGGAAGGTGTCCCTGGAACTGGAAGATCTTTAAGATCTTTAAGATCTTCCAATGCAAACCATTCTATGGTACTATGATGAAATGGATTCTCCATTGACTTGCCATCCCAAATCCCCTACTCTCTTTTTGGATCCCTCCCCTCAATTGTTAGGCAGATGGAATGGAGACAATTGGAAACACAAGTAAGGAACAGAGTCTTACTTCAGAGCCAGAAAAAAGGCTGATGAGACATGGCAGAAGAAAAAGCCCCAAGATCAAAGGGCAGGCAGTACTGTTTTCCGTGAGGTAAGAGACAGAAATGTTTACCTTTACAATGGCGAACCCCAGGATCACGAGCATGGCATAGCTGATAACGCTCTGCAGCCCAGACTCCAGCTCCTCTGCACAGCCCTGCCAGGAAAGAGACAGGTGAAAACCTATTAAATGATGTTAATTCAGCTGGACTTTTTTCTTTCTTTTCCTCCCCAACCCCTTAAAGGAAGCAAGGCCTGTCTAATCAACCACTGCAGACCTGAGGGACTCTGTTCTTGTCTTCCAGACCTGACGGCCTGAGGAGAAGCACTGACAAATTGCAATCCACTGACATTTGCTGCTTCCCAATCTCCTCTAGCTCAGGTCACTTAAGGAAGTGCCCAAAACGCAAAGACAGGAAGAGCAAGAATGGTATCTATAAAACTCAACCTAGGGGCTTTTCTCCAGACTGAAAAACCTGCTATGGAGTTCATGGAACCACAGAATGGTTTGGGTTGGAAGGGACCTTAAAAGATCATCCTGTTCCAACCCCCTGCCATGGGCAGGGACACCTTCCACTAGACCAGTTTGCTCCAAGCCCTGTCCAACCTGGCCTTGGACACTTCCAGGGATCCAGGGGCAGCCACAGCTTCTCTGGACAAACCTGTGCCAATGTTTCACCACCCTCATTGTAAAAAACTTCATCCTTATATCTAATCTAAATTGATCCTCTTTTAGTTTAAAACCATCACCCCTTGCCCTATCACAACAGGCCCTGCTAAAATGTTTGATCTCATCTTCTTTACAAGCATTCCCTAGGCATGGGAAGGGACTCCAAGGTCTCCCTGGAGCTTTCTCTTCTCCAGGCTGAACAACCCCTGCTCTCCCAGCCTGCCTCCACCACGGAAGTACTCCAGCCCTTGGAGCATCTTCATCCTCCAGATTCAGCACAGTCAATCCTACACGAGTCTCCTCCCCTGGCCCAGATAGCTGTGGGCATATCCCTAAAGCCTGACGTGCTTTCCTCCATGGTTCCTGCTGGCTGAGAGTGATCATGGCCCAGCAGTGACGCCCAGCCCCTCATCCTCACCCGGGTGTTGAGCTCCTGTGGCTGATCCAGATGCCCTGTGCAGTTCTTCACATCCTGCTGGCAGCAGCTCAGAGGGACACTGTTGTTCCCAGTGGAATTAAACCACTGTGTGGTCGTCCAGTCACTGTAGTTCTTCACCCCACAGCAGTGAAGCTGCCAAATACAGGGCAGTTACAGACATGTATGAATATATGTATTATATTTATTCATATATATTATATGTATATATGAAGGTTCACGTTGAGTTAAACCTCTCTTAGGCATAGTGGGCCAGAGGTGCCCTTCGTATGCAGCAAATTTACAAGCAGCAGTGCTTCAGGAAAACAATCACAAACACAATAAATCAACCTCCTTTCATACATCA